TTATTATTTAGTTAATGTTAATTATTTTATTTTTTAAAGTTTTATTTATTTATTTTTGAGGAATGTAGTTAAAACTGTTCAATCTGTCTTTAAAAAACTCTTGACCAAACCCAGAGCCAATGCTAGAGCTAGTGCTCTAAAGAGCCAGTACGTGGTTTGATTCAGTTTCCTGCCCATTATTCATAGTTGTGACATGTAAATGATGACCCCGCAGGACCAAGGAAGCATACTGACAGAGCTTGGAGGAAGTGCAACTGTTGTGGAGTGTAGCTCAGCAGATGCTTGGCTCTCAACTCCTAAAACTGCAACAACAACAAAAAAACAAAACAAACAAAACTGAAAACCATATGATGGCACAGGTACTTGCCAGTGTTGATTTAAAAAGAACAGTATATTAATGAAAATCTGTTTATGTATAGTTATTGGTTAGTTAAAATAACACCCCTTCCTCTTTAAAAATTGGTTATTTGGACACATTGTTGGATCTAAGATGGGAATGTGGTAGTCAGTTAACAACTCTTTTTATCAGGCAAAAGATGTTTTAACACCCACACCCACAAACCCCCCAAAACAAAACACTCAAGCATAGTAATTTTCTCTCACTATACTATACTATATTTTCTCTCAGGCTAGTTAGTGCTTTGTTTCATTGTGACTCTAAAGCAATATTTCATGTAAAGTATTTGATCTGGCCCAGTGTGGAGCTGCTCTGACTGTAAGCTGCTTCTCTGCTGTCTACTTCTCTTACTGTCTCTCTTTCTCTGTCTCTCTCTCGGGTCTCTGACATCTATCCGTCCGTCTCCCTCCCATCTCTCTGTCCATCCAGGCTGGATTGATGTAACCTGGGATGCTGGCGGCTCTAACTCTTACCGTATGGGCGCTGAAGGGAAGTTTGACCTCAAGCTTGCTCCAGGGTACGACCCTGAGTCGGCTGCCACAGCGCCGTCACCCAAACCTGTCTCATCCACTGTTTCAGGCCCCGCCTCCACCACGGTGGGACCCTCTGTGACGCAGGCAGCGAGCGGCAGCGGTACCACCACCACCACCTCATCATCTTCCTCCTCCACATCGTCATCCTCGCTTCAGCAGTCATGGAGCAGTCTGGTTAAAAATAACTGTCCTGATAAGGGCGGGGCCTCATCGCTTGGGGGTGCCAGCTCCTCCAGCAGAAAGGGGAGCAGCAGCTCTGTCTGCAGTGTCGCCTCCTCCTCTGACATCAGCCTAAGTTCCTCCGCTGGTTTTCCAGGTGCAGGAGGTCTGCGACTGGAGAGAAGAACTGACGGGCTAGTGCTTGACCAAGGAACCGGGATAGGAGGAGTAATGGGAGGCGGGGTTGGCTCTGATGGACATCAGCAAGAGCCAATTGTCGTTCTGTCCTCTGCAGAAGAGGGCGGATCTGGTTCAGCATCCAGCTCAGGCACACTTACTGGTGATGCATCCACCACAGCAGATGAAACCAGAAACAAAGACTCATCCACAGCAATGGCCACCACTGACCCCGCAACAGCAATCTCCATGGGGCTAGTGAGCGTGAGCTCCCCTGATGTCAGCTCGGTGTCGGAGTCATCTAGCAAGGACACGCCTTCCCAGAGGCCTATGTGCTCGGTGGCTAATGCCCGGCTATCGGTCAGCTCCCTCTTGGCTGCCGGCGCTCCCATGAGCTCCAGTGCCAGCGTCCCTAATTTGTCATCTCGCGAGGCCAGCTTGATGGAGTCCTTCGTCCGCCGCGCACCCAACATGTCGCGCACCAATGCCACAAATAACATGAACCTGAGCCGCAGCAGCAGCGACAACAACACCAACACGCTGGGCAGAAACGTCATGAGTACTGCCAGTGAGTACAGCAGGATTACTGCACTAATACTACAATATTCTTACAACATACCATTAAAAGACTGGTATTACACCTCAGTCCACTATCACGGAACATCA